ACCACAATTTTAAGTATTTTTTTATTTACTTAAATAGCCTTAAGTAAAATTACATAAATAAGGTTTTAATATATTTTTTAGCCAAAACAATATATCGTTCCACCACAAACATAAATCTGATTTTTTTTTCCTCTTCCCTCCTCACGGCTTTTGTGTTCCTCAAAATGTTCATGTCTCAATTTTGTTTATATGTTTATATATTCCTCCACCTTTTTGACATACCTTAAGTTAATTAGCCATTTGTTGTTTTCACCAGAAGCTAAAGCTCCCACCGGTAGACCGAAAGATCGGAACAGGTCACTTCATTAATGGCGAAAAAAGGCTTCAAGGAATTTTCCGATCTGTTAACAAGCTTCGGTGCCAAGACATTTTCACAAAGTGCTGAATATGGGTTAACAATTTTTTGCCCAACAGATGAATCTATAAACAATTTCATGCCAAAATACAAGAATTTGGCTTCACACGGTAAAATTTCATTGATATTGTATCATGGGATTCCTGTTTATGAATCTTTGGGTGTGTTGAGATCCAGCAATGGATTGATGAACACTCTGGCTGTTGGGAATTTACTTAACATGCACAGCGGAAATAAAACAATTTTCAATTCCCAAACGAGGATCTGCAATGTGTTTAGATAGAAACTGTGATGAGAATGATACATTTGATGAATTCTACAAACTCTTTTCCTTTTTCTTGAACTCCAATTATCACGATCTGCAATCCAAGCTGTCCAATTGTCCAGCCTCCAATGGTGATCCACACAGAGAAACAAGAATGACAGCTAGGGTTTTCTTTTCTTGTGCTAGCAACAATAATGAAAAATTTCATACTATTTTCAAACCCTAGTAGCCTATTAATATAAGTCCAAATAGGCTCGACCCATCTGTTAAACTTAACCCGATCCAATATTTAATTAATCAAATTAATTAAATCTGGTTCATGAATTAATTAATCCAATTAATTAATTCGGGCCTATTAATAAACAACCCAATTAATTAATTATCCAACACTTGTCAATTAATTAATTGGTAAATCTCATTCTTCTGATTCTCTTTTGTGTGTGACCCATTAGGTTCCCGATCACGATGCCGAA